TTAAGGGGCAAATTGGGCTTTGGTTGTGCTATGACAAGGCAAACCCCCTGAATATAATATATATTTAGCTGAAAATAAAAGGGATCTCCTGTGTGCAGCAGGGGGAAAGGGTTTGAGAGGCGCATAATCGTTTTGGAAACTGAACCCCACATATTGTTTAGCTAGGTGAGTGACAGTCTCTTGAAAGCTAATTATGCGATTTCCACTGTTACATACACATGCACACATGTACACAGACACATATACATATCAATATTCTTTTTATATCACAAGTGATTCAACAAGAGGCTTGCAACGGTCTCTATGCAAGGCATTTTTTACATCTAAGCCTTGTCTCGCAGTTGCTAGTCTGCTCCACACCCGCCCAACTTGGGAGTCATGTGCATCCTTTACCCACAGTATGCAAATATTTTAGTTACTTCACTAAGATTCCTGGCAGCACGTCATTATAAATAAAGAACTTGCACATTTCTTGGACTCCATTAATAGTGTTATATAATAGGGACTTTTTGTATTCCATTATATAATGACGCAAAGTATGCGAATAGTTAAACTTGCTCAATGAATTTGTGTTAGTTTGCATAAGTAATTGTATGGGTTTGTATAAATTTTGAGAATATAATTGAATGCTAGTTTAGTTAATTTATTTTGTACCCCATAGTCATCTTGTGGGGTGGGTAGTGGAAAGGGCTACAGTTGCGGGTAATGGACTCTGGGACTGAACCCAACAATTCATTTAGCTCGAGCAAGAAAACAAACACCAAAAATGTGTAAACGAACTTGCTAAAATGAATTTGTGCTAGTTTGCAAATGTGATTGTATAGGTTTTTGCACAAGTTTGATAATATAATTGAATGTTAGTTTAGATGGTTTATTATGCAACCCATACCCATCTTGTGGGCGATAGTGGAAAGGGCTACAGAGATGCATAATGGGACTCAGGGACTGAACCCCGCACAATTCATTTAACTAAAGCAAGATTTAGCAATCTTGATGAGCTAGTTTACAAAATCCAATGCACAGCATTTACTATGTCCAAAAAGCTTGGATGTTGGGAATTGAATGTGGGCCTGTAAACAAGTGGCTCTGCATTCTGGTGTAAATGAGGAACACTAGATGAATGAGAAGAAATCAAAATATGGGATGGGAAAAGAGAGAGAGAGAGAGAGAGAGAGAGAGAGATATTACAAATATTAAAAGTAATAATAATAATACTGTTACACATAGTCTGTTATTATTTGATATAAATACTAGCATTGAGAACGCCAGCCAAACCTGATTTATTAAAATATATTATTATGAATGCGCTAAAGTTTGTATGTAATATGTATTGTAAAAGCATTATAATTCATTATTTTTTTCATTCAAATAGAGGCATTTTATATGTCAAATATAATGTCAATATAAATTTGTAACATAATTTTCTCATTATTTTAAATAAATAGAGTTTTTGCAAGATTGTTGTTGATATGCATCTGGTATTTAGGTGGGAGTGGGGGTACTTTGCTGGATGCCCTTTGGATAAATATAGTTTTTGCAAAATCATATGTTGAATAGTGCATGAGTGACTGGGAAGACTTAGGGAAAACTGTGGGACATTTGCTGGGGTGTTTAGGGAGGGATGTGAGAAATATGGAACAATTTTTTTATGCTGTCTCTTATTCCAATGATCTTATTTCAAAGATCGATATTTGCTTGGCGCTATAATTCCATATTAAAAAAAACAAATTCAACCCTTGATATAACTAGAAAAGCCCATGGGACTGTACAAAAAATATAGCATTGCTATTGGCATTCAAATAAAATTAACTAACTACATTTTAATATAATGACTTTTTTTGTTTTATTGTAGAACTTCAACAAAATGTTGTAGTTCTGAGGCAAAGTGAAATTGACACCAGTAATTCCATCTATCATCATACTATCATGCAAGAGAAGCCACTTATCTATGGATCATCCAATAAAATCAGCAGACTTCTAGATGTTACTACTGCTCGGTTTAGACTCGGTTACAAGTATCTCTGGGAATAATCATTATCTGCTGATGTAGACCTGACCAAATGTAATCTGTGTCAACAAAATAATTTGCACACCCTGATGGAGTGCAGAAAGATAAATGAATTCGGAGACAATTCTATAACAAATTTTTCAGAGATGTGCAAATATTTTATTCAAAATAATATGCTACCAGAAATCGTAGTCAAATATCCCCAGTTTGCTAACTGTAGGTAGTAACTAAGTGATTGTAACCTACCTATCCACCGCTGCCCACTGGATGGGGGGCGGTGTGAATCTTATCTATCAAAAGGTTATCTTGAGATGATTTCGGGGCTTAGTGTCCCCGCGGCCCAGTCCTCGCCCAGGCCTCCACCCCTAGGAAGCAGCCCGTAGCAGCTGTCTAACTCCCAGGTACCTATTTACTGCTAGGTAACAGGAGCATCAGGGTGAAAGAAACATTTTTGCCCATTTGTCTCTGCTTTCACCGGGGATCGAACCCGGAACCTCTGGATTACGAATCCGAAGCGCTTTCCACCCAGCTGTTAAATGCCACGCCTCTACCAGGCGTGGAGGACAGACATATAAATTGTGATATTAGCTCTCCACATATGTCAGTTGCTTAATTAAGAAACTGTACTTGAGGTCGATCTCGAATCCAATGATGATGTGACACTGTGTATTGAATTTCGTATCTAACTCATAAAGAGTGAAAATTGCTTAGCTAAATGAATTTGGTGGTTCAGTCCCTGAGCCCCATTATGCGCCTCTGTAACCCTTTCCTCTACTGCCCACAAGATGGGTATGGGGTGCATAATAAATGAACTAAACTAAATTTGTCGTCAGGCCTCATCTGGCAATTTGGCAATGTCAACACTGTCCTCGTGTATGGTGGTATTAATGTCAACACTGACCCAAGTATGGTGGCATTAATGTCAACACTGGCCTCAAATATGATGGCATCAATGTCAACATTTGTCATCACTGGCACCAGGTATGGTGGCATCAATGTCAACACTGCCATCAAGTATGGTGGCATTAATGTCAACACTGCCATCAAGTATGGTGGCATCAATGTCAACACTGGCCTTAAGAATGGTGCTATCAATATCAACACTGGCCTCAAGTATGGTGGCATCAATGTCAACACTGGCCTCAAGTATGATGGCATCAATGTCAACACTGCCATCAAGTATGGTGGCATCAATGTCAACACTGGCCTTAAGAATGGTGCTATCAATATCAACACTGGCCTCAAGTATGGTGGCATCAATGTCAACACTGGCCTCAAGTATGATGGCATCAATGTCAACACTGCCATCAAGTATGGTGGCATCAATGTCAACACTGGCCTTAAGAATGTTGCTATCAATATCAACACTGGCCTCAAGTATGGTGGCATCAATGTCAACACTGGCCTCAAGTATGATGGCATCAATGTCAACACTGGCCTTAAGAATGGTGGCGTCAATGTCAACACTGGCGAGGACAGTCAGGTTGCTGACCAGGCATTGGGGCGCGTTTTTGTGACGTGGTTGTTTATTGTGAGGTGGTTCTTGTTGTGATAATTTAAATCCCCACTATAATGCCTCAGAAACGAAACCAAAACTGTGATATAGTGAAAAAGATTCTGGCGGATCGTTTTCTGCTCCCACGGAGAAAATATTACAAAAGTAAAAAATGAACATAATGTGTAACAAAATATATTGCTTCATTAACGAATTTGCGAGAGGATCGTTGAAAGTAAGAGAGAGACTAGGATAAAACATTTTGTAAATACTGTGTATGTGAAGTACAAGGGAATATTACACATACAAATAGGCTATAAAACAGAAAAAAACTCATTAAAATATGTATTTGGTACATAAGACTGACCAAGTATTTATCAATATTATTCTTATTTTATGTTAAATTGTCAATTTGGTATTTTTCAGTAAAATTTCGTACTTTATAGTTAACATTTTTGGTACATTCTTTAAAATACTTTTGGCAACCCCGATGGAGAGTCAGTTGAATCGGTGGTATGGAGTTGGACAGACGTGGTGGCTGGGCTCTTCGCTTATTCTAACCTAAATACCCATGTTTTCTGTTAGATAGTTCTCCGGGTATTGATAAAATATGGTGTTTATCTTGATGTGGAGGTCAATTGTCCTTGGAATTGAATTTAGTTATATAACTAGCGGTAGGGAATATCCCCATAGCTAATAGTTTTGCTTAAAATAACAGCGTCTGTGAACCTGACGGTATTTATGGTAAAATTTATATTATTAATTACAGTTTAATTGTAGTAATTGTTAATTTTTAAGTTTCATTTCTACCAGTTGGTTGGTGTAGAATTGCAATGCTATGTAACATTTCACTATATTGTTGCCCACAGTCGAGGACAAAAAGGCTGTTAGGCCTACCAAGGTCCCTCTAGCAGTTTAAGCCAACTTCTCACCCTCCCCAGGATGCATCCCGCAATAGCTGCCTAACTCCTGGGTACCTATTTACTACTAGGTGAACAGGCTATCAGGAAAAGGAAACGTGCCTAACCATCTGTCTCTCCCAAAAATCGTAGCAAGGATCCTTGGTTCACATGAGCCGACGACTCTACCCACTGTTCTACACGATCCATAAATCATTCTGTTTTTACTGTATAAAGAATGTCGTACTTTATATATTAATAATTCATGAAGAATTAATAATAATAATAATAATAATAATAATAATAATAATAATAATAATAATAATAATAATAATAATAATAATAATAATAATAATAATAATTAATTGAATGATGAAATACATAGACGGATAGCTGTTTGTCAGTCATGAAATTGATGGATGTTGATAAATGATTGAAGTTTGAGTGGAGAGATGATGTGTTGAGGGTTGCGGCACAGCATCAGCAAGCTGGAGATGCAGCCAAGGTGCAGAAATCACTCAAATATTTTGTTAAAGCCATTGCCCTTGAGTATGTCAACTGCGCTTCGTTTCTTCTTCGTTTTTGTGTTCCCTCTTGGTCAGGTCTCTTCCTGCGTTGGCTCCTTCTTCTCACGTCCAGGTATTGACTCCTCTTCCTTCCTGTGGTACGAGGAAATGTTTTCCACATGGAGCGGCTGCCCACCGATTTGCGTTATCTGTTTACATTACAGTTGTTAATGATACTTGTCAACTCATTCTCTCTAAAATTAAAATCAACTTTTAACAGAAGTCAAACAGGCAAAAATTATATATTCGTTTTCAAGTAAATTTTCATAACTGTTATATTTCAGTATAAGAGCTGGGCAAAATATATATTTGCATAACATTTAACACATCAGTTGTTTTATGGGTTCCACTTTACTGGGAGGAAAATGATTGTAATGACAATTACAATCCCACAAAAGTGTGAGGGTGATTCTTTATCACAATGAGTCATCCGTATTGTAGAGCTACCATAAACCACATATATGGTAGAAACCATTACCGTTTTGTGTGGGAGATCCATCTGCGGTACCTCCATGTATGGTTGGAGTGTAGAGACCGACTGTATGGTTGTGGTGTGAAGACTGACTGAATGGTTGTGGTGTGAAGACTGACTGAATGGTTGTGGTGTGGAGACCGATTGAATAGTTGTGGTGTGGAGTCCAACATGTCTTGTTGGCGTGTGGAGACCTATATGTATGACTGTGTTGTGGAGATCGAGTTTATGGTTGTGGTTTGCATACCGACTGTATGGTTGTGGAGTGGAGACCTTAATGTATAGTCGTGGTGTGGAGACCGTCTGTATGGTAGTGTTGTGGAGACCAATTGAATGACTAGTGTGCAGGCCTATCTGTATGTTTGTGGAGATTAGACCTGCATGGTTGTGGTGCGGAGACCGACTGAATGGTTGTAGTGTGAATGCCTTCATATATGATTGTGGAGTGCAGACATACATGTATGGTTATAGTGTGGAGAACTTCATGTATTGTTGTAGTGTGCACGTCTACATGTATGGTTATGGTGTCGAGACCTACATGTATGGATGTGGTTTGGAGATCTACCTGTATGGTTGTGGTGTGGAGACCTACCTGAATGGTTATGGTGTGGGAGACCGATTATATGGTTGTGGTGTGGAGACCGACCTGTGTAGTTGTGGTGTGGTGACCTACCTGTATGGTTGTGGTGTGGTGACCTACCTGTATGGTTGTGGTGTGGAGACCTACCTGTATGGTTGTAGTGTGGCGACCAACCTGTATGGGTTGTTGTGTGGAGACCTACCTGTATGGTTGTGGTGTGGAGACCTACCTGTATGGTTGTGGTGTGGAGACCTACCTGTATAGTTGTGGTGTGGTGACCTACCTGTATGGTTGTGGTATGGCGACCAACTGTATGGTTGAGGTGTGGAGACCGACTGTATGGTTGTGGTGTGGAGTCCAACATGTTTGGTTGAGGTGACCGACTGTACGGTTGTGGTGTGGAGATAGAAGGTATCGATGTGGTTTGGAGATCGAAGGTATGGTTATGGTTTGGAGACCAACTGTATGGTTGTGGTGTGGAGACCGACTGTATGGGTGTGGTGTGGAGACCGACAGTATGGTTGTGGTGTGGAGACTGACTGTATGGGTGTGGTGTGGAGACCGACTGTATGGTTGTGGTGTGGAGACTGATTGTATGGTTGTGGTGAGGAGACCGACTGTATGGTTGTGATGTGGAGACCAACTGTATGGTTGTGGTAAGGAGACCGACTGTATGGTTGTGGTGAAGAGACCGACTGTGTGGTTGTGGTGAGGAGACCGACTGTATGGTTGTGATGAGGAGACCGACTGTATGGTTGTGGTGAGGAAACCGACTGTATGATTGTGGTGAGGAGACTGACTGTATGATTGTGGTGAGGAGATTGACTGTAGGGTTGTGGTGTGGAGACCTACCTGTATGATTTTGGTGTAGAGACCATTTGTATAGTTGTGGTATGGAGACCGAATATATGGTTGTGGTATGGTGACCTACCTGTATGGTTGTGGTGTGGAGACCTACCTGTATGGTTGTGGTGTGGAGACCTACCTGTATGGTTGTCGTGTGGAGACCTACCTGTATGGTTGTGGTGTGGAGACCTACCTGTATGGTTGTCGTGTGGAGACCTACCTGTATGGTTGTGGTGTGGAGACCTATCTATATGGTTGTGGTGTGGAGACCAACCTGTATGGTTGTGGTGAGGAGAACTACCTGTATAGTTGTGGTGTGGAGACCAACCTGTATGGTTGTGGTGTGGAGACCTACCTGTATGGTTGTGGTGTGGAGATCTACCTGTATGGTTATGGCGTAGAAACATACCTGTAGAGTGTGTAGTGTATTGTGTATTGTGGTGTGGAGACCGACTTTATGGCTGTAGTGTGGAGGCTGACTGTATGGTTGTGGTGTGGAGACCGACTGTATGGTTGTGGTGTAGAGGCTGACTTTATGGTTGTGTTGTGGACACCGAGTGTATGGTTGTGGTGTGGAGACCAACAGTATAGTTGTGATGTGAAAGGTGACTGTATGGTTGTGATGTGGAGACCGACTGTATGGTTGTGGTGTGAAGACTGACTGTATGGTTGTGGTTCGAAGACCGACTGTATGGTTGTGGTGTGGAGACCGACAGTATAGTTGTGATGTGAAAGGTGACTGTATGGTTATGATGTGGAGACCGACTGCATGGTTGTGGTGTGGAGACTGACTGTATGGTTGTGGTTCGAAGACCGACTGTATGGTTGTGGTGTGGAGACAGACTGTATGGTTGTGGTGTGGAGACATACCTGTATGGTTAAGATGTAGAGACCTACCTGTATGATTGTGGTGAGGAGACCTACCTGTATGGTTGAGGTGTGGAGACCTATCTGTATGGTTGTGGTGTGGAGACCTACCTTTATGGTTGTGGTGTAGAGACCTACCTGTATGGTTGTGGTGTGGAGACCTACCTGTATGGTTGTGGTGTGGAGACCTACCTGTATGGTTGCGGTGTAGAGACCTACCTGAATGGTCGTGGTGTGGATACCTACCTGTATGGTTGTGGTGTAGAGACTTACCTGTATGGTTGAGGTGTGGAAACCTAAATGTATGGTTGTGGTGTGGAGACCTAAATGTATGGTTGTGGTGTGGAGATCTAAATGTATGGTTGTGGTGTGGAGACCTAAATGTATGGTTGTGGTGTGGAGACCTACCTTTATGGTAGTTGAGTTCTGCTCTGCACCTTGAGGCTGGATTTCGACCACCTGAGGACAGAAACAAAACATAGTTACAACACCAATAAGGCGCAATTTGGAAAAGAGAACACTGTCCGTTATCTGGTCGAACATTTAACAATCGCAATTGAACTTCAAAACCTACTGTAGGTGTTGCAACATGATGCACAATACAGTTCCTGTGCACAGTTCGTACAGGTATTCCACAGACGTCTGCATCAATTTAGTAGAACCAAATAGTGTTGGTCCTACTGTCTTAACAACGCCTCGTCTGGTATTAAGACTTATTGAGGTGCTTTTCGTATTAATAATCATATGATCATAATTCAGTGTACAATCTCCCACAAAGTGCAAATAACAACTATCAATGTTCAACGACTTGGATGATGACAATGTTGTCATTATTGCCTGTTACTTTCCTTCCAGACCAGAGACCAGAAATGGAAAGTAGCGAGCAGTTGGTTTGAGTCCTGGCATTATATACAGTAAGCTCCTCTCCTCAATCTCTTCTGTCCTTGCTCAAAAGGATAACTTTGTCTTTGTGTGCCTTACCTGACCTATGTTGGACCATACATCGCTGGCGAATGGGTATATATGGTCTAGCCCAACATACCAAAAATTTTCATGGTGATATTAAAATCAACAATATGTACTACAATGAACAATTTTCTTGCAATAAACCTGTATTTATTTTTTTATTTTGCTAGAAATTACCTACTTAAAATTATCTATTAGATTAAGGTTTTGCCCACAACACTATACGTGGTAGTTTTTTTTTTTTTGCAAGAACATAAAAACATTAATGCTATGTGCTCTCTTTCACCCAATGTACCTTTTTGTTTGCAAATAAATAAATAAATAAATAAATAAATAAATAAATAAATAAATAAATAAATAAATAAATAAATAAATAAATAAATAAATAATACAGAAGCACCAATACAGGCCTTTTAACCCGGAACACTATGACTCAAGACTACGAAATCCATCAGTTCACCTCCGCTGAGTGACACAATCTGGCCGTGGTGAAAACATTTCCACGACAACACCAGTGAGTGAACCATCCAAGGAGCTGAGACAAATAGGAGGACCAACAACAACAGTTTAGATAGTTCATTTATTATGCACCCCTTACCCATCATGTGGGCAGTAGTGGAAAGTGTTACAGAGGCATATAATGGGCTCAGGGAATGAACCCCACAATTCATTTAGTTAAGCAAGTTAGCTAAATGAATTGTGGGGTTCAGTCCCTGAGCCCATTATGTACCTCTGTAACCCTTTCCACTACCGCCCACATGATAGGTATGGGGTGCATAATAAACAGCAACATCTGCTGAAGGAGACGACAAGGTTACTCACCTTGGTGTGGATGAGAGTGTCTGAGCCATCTATAGTGAGATTGTTGGTGGTGGTGTTGACCTCGACGCGGGTCCCGGTCACCATAAAGACCTCGTGGGTGTCCTTGCCATACTTCTCTCCATCAGCACTATCAGAGTCATTTTTCTCAGCCAGAGAGTCACTGTCATCGATGGTGTCGTTCTTACCGCCAGAGTCACTGTCATCGATGGTGTCGTTCTTACCACCAGAGTCACTGTCATCGACGGTGTCGTTCTTACCATCAGAGTCACTGTCATCGATGGTGTCATTCTTACCACCAGCATCACTGTCATCGATGGTGTCGTTCTTACCACCTGAGTCACTGTCATCGATGGTGGTAATCCCGCCACCAGAGGTGTGGTGTGAAAACCTATATGTATGGTTATGGTATGGAGACCTACATGTATGGATGTGGTTTGTAGACCTTCATGTATGGATGTGATGTAGAAACATACCTGTATGTTATTAGGTGGAGACATTCCTGTTTGGTTGTGGTGTAGAAACCTACTTGTATGGTTGTGGTGTGGAGTCCAACATGTTTGGTTTAGGTGACCGACTGTACTGTTGTGGTGTGGAGATCGAAGGTATGGTTGTAGTTTGGAGACCAACTGTATGGTTCTGGTGTGGTGACCGATTGTATGGTTGTGGTGTGGAGACCAACAGTATGGTTGTGGTGGGGTGACTGACTGTATGGGTGTGGTGTGGAGACCGACTGTATGGGTGTGGTGTGGAGACTGACTGTATGGGTGTAATGTGGAGACCGAATGAATGGTTGTGGTGTGGTGACCGACTGTATGGTTTTGGTGTTGAGACTGACTGACCGAACGGTTGTGGTGTGGAGCCCGACTGTATGGCTGTGGTGTGGCGACCGACTGTATGGTTGTGGTTAGGAGACTGACTGTATGGTTGTGGTGAGTAGACTGACTGTATGGTTGTGATGAAGAGACCGACTGTATGGTTGTGATGAAGAGACCGACTGTATGGTTGTGGTGAGGACTCTGACTGTATGGCTGTTTTGAGGAGACTGACTGTATGGTTGTGGTGAGGAGACTGACTGTACGGTTGTGGTGAGGAGACCGACTGTATGGTTGCTGTGAGGAGGCCGACTGTATGGTTGTTGTGAGGAGACCAACTGTATGGTTGTGATGAAGAGACCGACTGTATGGTTGTCGTGAGGAGACCAACTGTATGGTTGTGATGAAGAGACCGACTGTATGGTTGTGGTGAAGAGACCGAATGTATGGTTGTCGTGAGGAGACCAACTGTATGGTTGTGGTGAAGAGACCGAATGTATGGTTGTCGTGAGGAGACCAACTGTATGGTTGTGATGAAGAGACCGACTGTATGGTTGTGGTGAGTAGACCGACTGTATGGTTGTGGTGTGGAGACAGACTGTATGGTTGTGGTGTGGAGACATACCTGTATGGTTAAGATGTAGAGACCTACCTGTATGATTGTGGTGAGGAGACCTACCTGTATGGTTGAGGTGTGGAGACCTATCTGTATGGTTGTGGTGTGGAGACCTACCTTTATGGTTGTGGTGTAGAGACCTACCTGTATGGTTGTGGTGTGGAGACCTACCTGTATGGTTGTGGTGTGGAGACCTACCTGTATGGTTGCGGTGTAGAGACCTACCTGAATGGTCGTGGTGTGGATACCTACCTGTATGGTTGTGGTGTTGAGACTTACCTGTATGGTTGAGGTGTGGAAACCTAAATGTATGGTTGTGGTGTGGAGACCTAAATGTATGGTTGTGGTGTGGAGATCTAAATGTATGGTTGTGGTGTGGAGACCTAAATGTATGGTTGTGGTGTGGAGACCTACCTTTATGGTAGTTGAGTTCTGCTCTGCACCTTGAGGCTGGATTTCGACCACCTGAGGACAGAAACAAAACATAGTTACAACACCAATAAGGCGCAATTTGGAAAAGAGAACACTGTCCGTTATCTGGTCGAACATTTAACAATCGCAATTGAACTTCAAAACCTACTGTAGGTGTTGCAACATGATGCACAATACAGTTCCTGTGCACAGTTCGTACAGGTATTCCACAGACGTCTGCATCAATTTAGTAGAACCAAATAGTGTTGGTCCTACTGTCTTAACAACGCCTCGTCTGGTATTAAGACTTATTGAGGTGCTTTTCGTATTAATAATCATATGATCATAATTCAGTGTACAATCTCCCACAAAGTGCAAATAACAACTATCAATGTTCAACGACTTGGATGATGACAATGTTGTCATTATTGCCTGTTACTTTCCTTCCAGACCAGAGACCAGAAATGGAAAGTAGCGAGCAGTTGGTTTGAGTCCTGGCATTATATACAGTAAGCTCCTCTCCTCAATCTTTTCTGTCCTTGCTCAAAAGGATAACTTTGTCTTTGTGTGCCTTACCTGACCTATGTTGGACCATACATCGCTGGCGAATGGGTATATATGGTCTAGCCCAACATACCAAAAATTTTCATGGTGATATTAAAATCAACAATATGTACTACAATGAACAATTTTCTTGCAATAAACCTGTATTTATTTTTTTATTTTGCTAGAAATTACCTACTTAAAATTATCTATTAGATTAAGGTTTTGCCCACAACACTATACGTGGTAGTTTTTTTTTTTTTTGCAAGAACATAAAAACATTAATGCTATGTGCTCTCTTTCACCCAATGTACCTTTTTGTTTGCAAATAAATAAATAAATAAATAAATAAATAAATAAATAAATAAATAAATAAATAAATAAATAAATAAATAATACAGAAGCACCAATACAGGCCTTTTAACCCGGAACACTATGACTCAAGACTACGAAATCCATCAGTTCACCTCCGCTGAGTGACACAATCTGGCCGTGGTGAAAACATTTCCACGACAACACCAGTGAGTGAACCATCCAAGGAGCTGAGACAAATAGGAGGACCAACAACAACAGTTTAGATAGTTCATTTATTATGCACCCCTTACCCATCATGTGGGCAGTAGTGGAAAGTGTTACAGAGGCATATAATGGGCTCAGGGAATGAACCCCACAATTCATTTAGTTAAGCAAGTTAGCTAAATGAATTGTGGGGTTCAGTCCCTGAGCCCATTATGTACCTCTGTAACCCTTTCCACTACCGCCCACATGATAGGTATGGGGTGCATAATAAACAGCAACATCTGCTGAAGGAGACGACAAGGTTACTCACCTTGGTGTGGATGAGAGTGTCTGAGCCATCTATAGTGAGATTGTTGGTGGTGGTGTTGACCTCGACGCGGGTCCCGGTCACCATAAAGACCTCGTGGGTGTCCTTGCCATACTTCTCTCCATCAGCACTATCAGAGTCATTTTTCTCAGCCAGAGAGTCACTGTCATCGATGGTGTCGTTCTTACCGCCAGAGTCACTGTCATCGATGGTGTCGTTCTTACCACCAGAGTCACTGTCATCGACGGTGTCGTTCTTACCATCAGAGTCACTGTCATCGATGGTGTCATTCTTACCACCAGCATCACTGTCATCGATGGTGTCGTTCTTACCACCTGAGTCACTGTCATCGATGGTGGTAATCCCGCCACCAGAGGTGTGGTGTGAAAACCTATATGTATGGTTATGGTATGGAGACCTACATGTATGGATGTGGTTTGTAGACCTTCATGTATGGATGTGATGTAGAAACATACCTGTATGTTATTAGGTGGAGACATTCCTGTTTGGTTGTGGTGTAGAAACCTACTTGTATGGTTGTGGTGTGGAGTCCAACATGTTTGGTTGAGGTGACCGACTGTACTGTTGTGGTGTGGAGATCGAAGGTATGGTTGTAGTTTGGAGACCAACTGTATGGTTCTGGTGTGGTGACCGATTGTATGGTTGTGGTGTGGAGACCAACAGTATGGTTGTGGTGGGGTGACTGACTGTATGGGTGTGGTGTGGAGACCGACTGTATGGGTGTGGTGTGGAGACTGACTGTATGGGTGTAATGTGGAGACCGAATGAATGGTTGTGGTGTGGTGACCGACTGTATGGTTTTGGTGTTGAGACTGACTGACCGAACGGTTGTGGTGTGGAGCCCGACTGTATGGCTGTGGTGTGGCGACCGACTGTATGGTTGTGGTTAGGAGACTGACTGTATGGTTGTGGTGAGTAGACTGACTGTATGGTTGTGATGAAGAGACCGACTGTATGGTTGTGATGAAGAGACCGACTGTATGGTTGTGGTGAGGACTCTGACTGTATGGCTGTTTTGAGGAGACTGACTGTATGGTTGTGGTGAGGAGACTGACTGTACGGTTGTGGTGAGGAGACCGACTGTATGGTTGCTGTGAGGAGGCCGACTGTATGGTTGTTGTGAGGAGACCAACTGTATGGTTGTGATGAAGAGACCGACTGTATGGTTGTCGTGAGGAGACCAACTGTATGGTTGTGATGAAGAGACCGACTGTATGGTTGTGGTGAAGAGACCGAATGTATGGTTGTCGTGAGGAGACCAACTGTATGGTTGTGGTGAAGAGACCGAATGTATGGTTGTCGTGAGGAGACCAACTGTATGGTTGTGATGAAGAGACCGACTGTATGGTTGTGGTGAGTAGACCGACTGTATGGTTGTGGTGAGGAGACTGACTGTATGGTAGTGGTGAGGAGACTGACTGTATGGTTGTGGTGAGGAGACCAACCTGTATGGTCAGGGTATGGTGATCTACCTGTATGGTTTGGTGTAGAGACCTACCTGTATGGTTGTGGTGTGGAGTCCAACATGTATAGTTGATGTGTGGAGATCGATTGTATGGTTGTGGTGTGGAGACCGATTTTATGGTTGTGGTGTGAAGACCGACTGTATGGTTGTGGTGTGGAGACCGACTGTATGTTTGTGGTGTGGAGTCCAAAATGCATGGTTGACGTGAGGAGACCGAATGTATGGTTGTGGTGTGGAGATCGACTGTATGGTTGTGGTGTGGAGACCTACCTGTATCGTTGTGGTGTGGAGAACTACTTGTATGGTTGTGGTGTGGAGACCAACCTGTATGGATGTGGTGCGGAGACTTACCTGTATGGTTGTGGTGTGGAGATCTACCTGTATGGTTATGGTGTAGAAACATACCTGTAGAGTGTGTAGTGTATTGTGTATTGTGGTGTGGAGACCGACTTTATGGCTGTAGTGTGGAGACCGACTGTATGGTTGTTGTGTAGAGGCTGACTTTATGGTTGTGATGTGGAGACCTACTGTATGGTTGTGGTGTAGAGGCTGACTTTATGGCTGTGGAGTGGAGACCGAGTGTATGGTTGTGGTGTGGAGACCCACTGTTTGGTTGTGATGTGAAGGCTGACTGTATGGTTGTGATGTGGAGACCGACTGTATGGTTGTGGTGTGGAGACCTACCTGTACGGTTATGGTGTAGAGACCTGCCTGTATGGTTGTGGTGTGGATACCTACCTGTATGATTGTGGTGTGGAGACCTACCAGTATGGTTGTGGTGTGGAGACCTATCTATATGGTTGTGGTGTGGAGACCTACCTGTATGGTTGTGGTGTGGAGACCTATCTATATGGTTGTGGTGTGGAGACCTACCTGTATGGTTGTGGTGTAGAGACCTACCTGTAAGGTTGTGGTGTAGAGACCTACCTGTATGGTTGTGGTGTAGAGACCTACCTGTATGGTTGTGGTGTGGAGACCTATCTGTATAGTTGTGGTGTAGAGACCTACCTGTATGGTTGTGGTGTGGAGACCTATCTGTATATTTGTGGTGTAGAGACCTACCTGTATGTTTGTGGTATGGAGACCTATCTATATGGTTGTGGTGTAGAGACCTACCTGTATGGTTTCGGTGTAGAAACCTACCAGAATGGTTGTGGTGTGGAGACCTACCTGTATGGTTGTGGTGTAGAGGCTTACCTGTATGGTTGTGGTGTGGAGACCTACCTTTATGGTAGTTGAGTTCTCCTTTGCACCTTTAGGCTGGATATCGACCACCTGAGGACAGAAACAAAACATAGTTACAACACCAATAAGGCGCAATTTGGAAAAGAGAACACTGTCCGTTATCTGGTCGAACATTTAACAATCACATTTGAACTTCTAAACCTACTGTAGGTGTTGCAACATGATGCATAATACAGTTCCTGTGCACAGTTCGTACAGGTATTCCACAGACGTCTGCATCAATTTAGTAGAACCAAATAGTGTTGGTCCTACTGTCTTAACAACGCCCCGTCTGGTATTAAGACTTATTGAGGTGCTTTTCGTATTAATAATCATATGATCATAATTCAGTGTACAATCTCCCACAAAGTGCAAATAACAACTATCAATGTTCAACGACTTGGATGATGACAATGTTGTCATTATTGCCTGTTACTTTCCTTCCAGACCAGAGACCAGAAATGGAAAGTAGCGAGCAGTTGGTTTGAGTCCTGGCATTATATACAGTAAGCTCCTCTCCTCAATCTCTTCTGTCCTTGCTCAAAAGGATAACTTTGTCTTTGTGTGCCTTACCTGACCTATGTTGGACCATACAACGCTGGCGAATGGGTATATATGGTCTAGCCCAACATACCAAAAATTTTCATGGTGATATTAAAAACAACAATATGTACTATAATGAACAATTTTCTTGCAATAATTTTTTAATTTTGTTAGAAATTACCTACTTAAAATTATCAATTAGATTAAGGTCTTGCCCACAACACTATACGTGGTAGTGGCTTTGCAAGAACATAAAAACATCAATGCTATGTGCTCTCATATTCCCAACGTACCTTCTTGTTCATAAACAAATAAATAAATAAATAAATAAATAAATAAATAAATAAATAAATAAATAAATAAATAATACAGAAGCACCAATACAGGCCTTTTAACCCGGAACACTATGACTCAAGACTACGAAATCCATCAGTTCACCTCCGCTGAGTGACACAATCTGGCCGTGGTGAAAACATTTCCACGACAACACCAGTGAGTGAACCATCCAAGGAGCTGAGACAAATAGGAGGACCAACAACAACAGTTTAGATAGTTCATTTATTATGCACCCCTTACCCATCATGTGGGCAGTAGTGGAAAGTGTTACAGAGGCATATAATGGGCTCAGGGAATGAACCCCACAATTCATTTAGTTAAGCAAGTTAGCTAAATGAATTGTGGGGTTCAGTCCCTGAGCCCATTATGTACCTCTGTAACCCTTTCCACTACCGCCCACATGATAGGTATGGGGTGCATAATAAACAGCAACATCTGCTGAAGGAGACGACAAGGTTACTCACCTTGGTGTGGATGAGAGTGTCTGAGCCATCTATAGTGAGATTGTTGGTGGTGGTGTTGACCTCGACGCGGGTCCCGGTCACCATAAAGACCTCGTGGGTGTCCTTGCCATACTTCTCTCCATCAGCACTATCAGAGTAATTTTTCTCAGCCAGAGAGTCACTGTCATCGATGGTGTCGTTCTTACCGCCAGAGTCACTGTCATCGATGGTGTCGTTCTTACCACCAGAGTCACTGTCATCGACGGTGTCGTTCTTACCATCAGAGTCACTGTCATCGATGGTGTCATTCTTACCACCAGCATCACTGTCATCGATGGTGTCGTTCTTACCACCTGAGTCACTGTCATCGATGGTGCCGATCCCGCCAACAGAGTCACTGTCATCGATGGTGTCGTTCTTACCGCCCGAGTCACTGTCATCGATGGTGTCGTTCTTACCGCCCGAGTCACTGTCATCGATGGTGCCGATCCCGCCAACAGAGTCACTGTCATCGATGGTGTCGTTCTTACCGCCCGAGTCACTGTCATCGATGGTGTCGATCCCGCCACCAGAGTCACTGTCATCGATGGTGTCGTTCTTACCGCCCGAGTCACTGTCATCGATGGTGTCGATCCCTCCACCAGGGTCACTGTCATCGATGGTGTCGTTCTTACCACCAGAGTCACTGTCATCGATGGTGTCGTTCTTACCACCAGAGTCACTGTCATCGATGGTGTCAATCCCGCCACCAGAGACACTGTCATCGATGGTGTCGTTCTTACCACCCAAGTCACTGTCATCGATGGTGTCGTTCTTACCGCCCAAGTCACTGTCATCGATGGTGCCGATCCCGCCACCAGAGTCACTGTCATCGATGGTGTCAATCCCGCCACCAGAGACACTGTCATCGATGGTGTCGTTCTTACCGCCCAAGTCACTGTCATCGATGGTGTCGTTCTTACCGCCCGAGTCACTGTCATCGATGGTGCCAATCCCGCCACCAGAGTCACTATCATCGATCTTGTTGTTCTTACCACTAGAGTCACTGTCATCGATGGTGTCGATCCCACCACCAGAGTCACTGTCATCGATGGTGGTGATCCTGCCACCAGAGTCACTATCATCGATGGTGTTGTTTTTATCATCAATGGCAATGATGATAATATGATATCTGATGGGGAATATATATATTATAGTTTTTCCAGTTAAAATGACATTTGAATTTTCTTTTAAAAATTAAACTAAGAAAATTCTTTATAGAAACACATTGAACACATAATAACTATTAACGTAATAAAACATGTATAATAATCATGAATTTATTAAGAATAGTAACCACAATTTTGTTGAAAATGTAATTTTTTTTTACCTAAATACAGGCTTTCTGGCATGTAAATATGATGTTCAAAGGTATACATAATTTATGAGGACGAGCAACACATGGGGAAAATATTTAATAAATGCAGGTAGTAAACATCAAGAACTTATTCACTTATAAGTGCATAAGCATGACGGAATTGAATATGAAATACCCAAGTAATATTTCGGGTGTAAGTGCTACTTTAGGCAATATAATTTAACATAATACACTCAATGAACTTAATAGTCATGAACCCGGGGGTGAAGAGGCTAGGAAGTTGCTTCTTAGGTTATACTGAAGGTGTACACTTATGTTTACTATATCACTACATGGAGATAACACTATATAAGGACAGACAACCAGCTGGGATAGGAAGATGGACTACCAGCTGGGATATGAGGATGGAGTACCAGCTGGGATATGAGGGCATATCCCAACAAACACAAAACGTTGTGGCAACCTCCACTAACGTCTCAACAAGGTTGTGGGAAAGACAAGTTTCATGTATAGTTCAACAGGCACATGAGGAACCTTTAATCCAAGAATGGAAAAAATATTTCTTTATGTAATAAGGTAAATGCCACCTTTACTAACACTAGTTTCACCTTTATATATTAACAAAAATATTTTGTTTATATTTCAATATTAAATTTATATATATAACATATATAAATTGTAAGTATTGTTCCATAGCTGTATGAAATATTTTTAAAACATTTATTTATGCAATGATAAGATTATATTTTTATTATACATAACTAATAAATTGACTTATATACCACTATTTGTTCCCTTATATATATTAAAGCTGTTTTTTCCAGTCTTTATTTATTTATTAAATTTATATGTCATTTTTAAATGCACAATAATAATAATAATAATTGAAACGTTGTGTCTTAGTTGTATGAAGGGTGTACAAAATATTTACTTAATCCAAACTTATATTGTATTTTTTTAATATGATTTTGCTTAAAAAAGCTTTTATAACACTATTTTTGTAAATGATATATTAAATAATACTGTCTTCATGTTTAAAATTAAATTGATGTACTTTATGTAAAATACATTAACAAAAATTGAAAATGTTGTTTTATAGGTGTTCGAAGGACACACGCAACATTTTTTCTACCATTTTTATTAGGAAGAAAATCGTTAAGGTGCATCAAAATACCTCTTTGCCACACACATCTGTATGGTAGTAGATTTTACATTAAATATAATTGAAACACAAATGGGTGAGTACAACTATATGAGTGCAACTGGGAGAGTACATGTAGGTAAGTACAACTTGGTGAGCACTGCTAGGTTAATAGAAGTAGGTCAGTACAGCTACCCAAGAACAACAAGGAGACTATATATATATATATATATATATATATATATATATATATATATATATATATAGGTGATCACAACTTAGTGAGCACTGCTAGGTTAATATAAGTAGGTGAGTACAACTACCCGAGAACCACTAGAATCTTGAGGTTATCTTGAGATGATTTCGGGGCTTTTTAGTGTCCCCGCGGCCCGGTCCTTGACCAGGCCTCCACCCCCAGGAAGCAGCCCGTGACAGCTGACTAACACCCAGGTACCTATTTTACTGCTAGGTAACAGGGGCATAGGATGAAAGAAACTCTGCCCATTGTTTCTCGCCGGCGCCCGGGATCGAACCCGGGACCACAGGATCACAAATCCAGTGTGCTGTCCGCTCGGCCAACCGGCTCCCTAGAAGAGTACATGTTGGTGAGTAAAACTTGGTGAGCACTGCTAGGTGAATATATTCCCCATTTGCATGCGTTACAATGCCAGTATAACTGACATATTAGTCGCCACTAGTGTGGTGTACAATACCAGTACAAGTGACACACTAGTTCCCACTCACGTGGTGTACAATGCCAGTACAGCTGATACAATAGTCTTCACTACCGTTCTGTACAATGCGTGTACAACTGACACAATAGTCCCCACTAGCATGGTGTACAATGCCAGTACAACAGACACACTAGTCCTCACTAGCATGGTGTACAATGCCAGTACAACAGACACAATAGTCCCCACTAGCATGGTGTACAATGCCAGTACAACTGACACACTAGTCCCCACTAGGATGGTGTACAATGCCAGTACAACTGACACACTAGTCCCCACTAGCATGGTGTACAATGCCAGTACAACAGACACACTAGTCCCCACTAGCATGGTGTACAATGCCAGTACAACTGACACACTAGTCCTCGCTAGCATGGTGTACAATGCCAGTACAACAGACACACTAGTCCCCACTAGCATGGTGTACAATGCCAGTACAACAGACACACTAGTCCTCACTAGCATGGTGTACAATGCCAGTACAACAGAATCAATAGTCCCCACTAGCATGGTGTACAATGCCAGTACAACTGACACACTAGTCCCCACTAGCATGGTGTACAATGCCAGTACAACTGACACAATAGTCCCCACTAGCATGGTGTACAATGCCAGTACAACTGACACACTAGTCCCCACTAGCATGGTGTACAATGCCAGTACAACTGACACACTAGTCCCCACTAGCATGGTGTACAATGCCAGTACAACTGACACACTAGTCCCCACTAGCATGGTGTACAATGCCAGTACAACTGACACACTAGTCCCCACTAGCATGGTGTACAATGCCAGTACAACTGACACACTAGTCCCTACTACCATGCTGTACAATGCCAGTACAACTGACACACTAGTCCACACACCACACACTCTGTGTGGGTGTAGTCATGTGTTGGTGTAGCTGGGTGTGAGTGTGGCCGGTTGAGGGTGTAGTCGTATGTGGATGTAGAAGTGTGTAGGAGGTAGCTGGGTGAGGGTGCAGCCGGATGAGGGTGTTAGCGTGTGTGGGTGTAGTCGTGTGTGGGTGTAGTCGGATGTGGGGGGGGGGGGTAGCGGGTTGATGGTGTAGTCGTGTGTGAGTGTAGTCATATGTGCGTGTAGCCAGAATTGAGCATAGCCGGTTGACGGTGTAGTCGTGTGTGGGTGCATTCGCGTTTGGGTGTAGTCATGAGTGGGTGTAGCTGGGTGACAGTGTAGCCGGTTGAGGTTGTTGGGGTGTGTGGGTGTAGTTGTAGGAAATTTCCTACACTGAACTACTAATCTCTAGTACATTAAGAAGTAATTCTTGTACTAGGCATTCCAATCGACTAACACTACTAACCCTTAGTGTTGTGATATTAAAATTATTTCATTAAGACGTAGAACGTCATATATTTTCCTAGAAGTCATGGCCGCAGTTTTGCGTCAGCCAGCAAGCCACAAGGAATAATTTTACATATTAACTGATAGAGTAGAATCCAGCCTTATTTTGCTTTTTTATTAACAATAATCGTTTATTAATAAATTCACCTTTAGTTAGCATATATATCATCATTTCCTAGAACTAAGTTATACGACTACGATCAGCTGTTCCAGTGAATGAAATGATAGATCAAATTTCCACTCTGAATCTTTCTCATTTATTTAACATCGTTTAAATTAACTGACATGTTCTATGAGAAAACATTTGTTGTTACACATTACATTTTATTAACTTGTCATACCCATCTCCTTCCTTACTGAACATTATGTGAATATTATTAATTATACTCGGGATCCCAGCCTTGGGAGCGATTGCCCATGCACCACCCGGGATGAAGGGGAGAGTCACACGAGAGCCGCCATAGTTTTGAAGTGTTCTGAAGTTTGCTTATGGTCACTGGTTCAAATTAGGAACATCAAGCTGTCTGCGAGCTCCTGAGTGATTGTGCCACTTCTATTATTTACAGACTCCACTTTCGACAAGAAATAAGAAACTTTACAAATTTATACTAGCTCTTATAACTTGTATCAGTTGTTTCCCTTTCGTTACAACACGCGGCAACATTTAATCCCACGTTAGTGCACCTTTGATCCCAAAATCTATTTAGTATTTACAATTAAATGAATGATTCAAGGATTTGGATTGGAAATTACATAATATTTACATTTTAGCGTGGAATTAACTGTGAAAGAAAAAATTACGTCCTTCGGGTTTACGTGTTTCTTGAGAGCTGCTGACTCGAACAAGAATAAACAGGTTGATGTTGTCGGACATGATCGACGTTCATCTTAGACAGCTAAGCTGCTTACTTGTTCATTTTGTAGTTTGCCAACTGATTTATCTCTCAATGAACTAGAGAATTTAAATGACTTATTTTATTATTAGAAGTCAATAATCTAATATTATAGAATAACCCCCCAAGTTGTAGGGTATATGGATTTAGTTCTGAATTATTTTTAACATTACAGTTCATTTATCTAGAAATATTTAATCACATTTATGCAATAATTATAGGAGATCTATAAGCCACGAGTCCTCCTATTTATTAATAGAATTCTGGTCCCTCGAAGCATTTAGCACTATTCATTATAGAACTGAATTCAACCCCAAAGTAGTCATGTGTGGGTGTAGCCAGATGTGTGTGTGTGTGTTGCCGGATGAAGGTGTAGCTGGTTGAGGGTGCAGTTGTGTGTGGGTGTAGTGTGTGGGTGTAGCTGGGTGACAGTGTAGCAGGTGAAGCAGGGTGTGTGTAGACAAGTACAGCAATGAAGGGAAGGCTTTGTCACAGAATGCAGTCAAAACTTCAGTGTGTCCTTTCAATACAATATTTTGGTTTATTATCTAAGGACTTGTTATATATGTATATTTGTTCCAACTTATATTACAAGATAGCAAGGAAAAAGTTATTACACAGGTAAAATGATTATCTTGCCATAAATTGCTTATGTTGGAATTTGCAGGTCAAACTGTGTCCCCACACTGTGCTTCCAACTCCAGTCCTGGTAGGACACTTTCACACCCTCCTCTCTTTGGTAAGATATCTGCACTACACTATTTATTTATTTATTTATGCATATACAAGAAGGTACATTGGGAATGTGAGGATACATAATATGGTAATTACAGTCTTGTAAAGCCACTAGTACGTGCAGCGTTTCGGGCAGGTCCTTAATCTAAGAAAATTTTAAGTAGGTAAATACTTGCAAAATTTATAAACAAAAAAAATGATAACAGTTACATGGAATGAAAAAAAGATGAGAGAAAATTGTAGGTACAGTATATTAAAGCACATAGGTAGCTAAGATTGATTGCAATGACAGCTTGAATGGTAGTCACAATACAGCATATGGCTAGCACATAAAAGAAGACAGCAATGAACACAATGATAAGGTTGTTTGATACTACATAAAAATTAGGAGATTGGGTAACACTAGGTACAGAGCAAATTTAAAGCTCAGTGTAGGAAACTAAGAAGATGAAATTAGGTACTTTTTGGTTTTGCTTTTAAATAAGGCAAAAGTTTTACAGTTTTTCAATTCACTAGGGAGTGAGTTCCCACACTACATACACACCACCACCACTACAACCCTACCTCATAACCACTACAACACATACCACCACTACCACTACCACCACTTCCACACTACCACTACCATTACCACCATCACCACTACAACACTACCTCTATCACCACTACCACACCACCATTACAACATCACCACTACCAGCATTACCGCTACCTGACTACCACTGCCACACCACCGCCACCACCACTTTCACATCACTACCAATACCACCACTACTACAACACAACTACCATCAGACTACCATCTGGGATATGAGGTGGGACTTCCAGCTGGGATATGAGGACAGATCACCAGCTAGGATATGATGATGGACTACGAGCTGGGATATGAGGACAGACTTCCAGCTGGGATATGAGATCAGACTACCAGCTGGGACATGAGGACGGACTACCAGCTGAGATATGAGGACAGACCACCAGCTAGGAAATGAGGATGAACTACCAGCTGGGATATGAGGACAGAGAAACTGATGAGATAAGAGGACAGACTACCAGCTGGTTTATGATAATGTACTACCAGCTGGGATATGAAGACAGACTTCCAGCTGGGATATGAAGACAGATGACCGACTGGGATATGAAATTGGACTACCAACTGGGATATGAGGACTAGCTACCAGCTAGGATATGAAGTTGGACTTCCAGCTGGGATATGACGACAGACTATCTGCTGGGATATGAGGACAGACTACCAGCTGGGATATGAGGACAGACTACCAGCTGGGATATAAAGATGGACTACTGTCTTGGATATGAGGACATTCTACCAGCTGGGAAATGTTGACAGACTACCAGCTGGGATCTGGGGACAGACTACCAGCTGGGATATGAGGGTATATCCCAGCAAACACAAAACGTTGTGGCAACCTCCACTAACGTTACAACAAGGTTGTGGGAAAGACAAGTTTCATGTGTGATTCAACAGGCACATGAGCAACCTTTAACCCAAGAATGGAAAAAATATTTCTTTATGAAATAAAGTAAATGCCGCCTTTACTAACACTAGTTTCACCTTTATATATTACAAAAATATTTTGTTCATGTTTAAATATTAAATTTATGTATATAACCTATATAAATTGAAAATGTTGTTCCATAGCTGTATAAAATATTCTTAAAACATTTATTTACTCGATGACTGGATTATAATTTTTATATATATAACTAATATATAGAATTATTTACCACTATTTGTTCCCTTATATATTAAAGCTGTTTTTAGAGCTATTATTTATTTATTAAATGTATATGTCATTTTTAAATGCACAATAATAATAATAATAATAATAATAATAATATTAATAATAATAATAATAATATTAATAATAATAATAATAATAATAATAATAATAATTATTATAATAATAATAATAATTAAAAGGTTATGTCTTAGTTGTATTAAGGGAGTGCAAAACATTTACTTCATCCAAACTTTATAATCCAATATTTAATTTTTTAAATATGATTTTGTTTAAAATTGCTTTTATAACACTATTTTCTATATGATATATTAAATAATACTGCTTCCACATTTAAAATTAAATTGATGTACTTCATGTAAAATACATTAGGAAAAATTAAAAATGTTGTTTTATAGGTTTTTGAAGGACACAAGCAACATTTTATCTACTATTTTATTGGGAAGAAAATAATTAAGGTGCATCAAAATACCTCTTTGCCACATGCATCTGTATTGTAGCAGATTTTACATTAAATGTAATTGAAACACAAATGGGTGATTACAACATGGTAAGTACAATTATATGAGTGCAACTAGAAGAGTACATGTAGGTAAGTACTACTTAGTGAGCACTGCTAGGTCAATTCAAGTAGGTCAGTACAACTACCCAAGAACAACAAGGAGACTATATATATATATATATATATATATATATATATATATATATATATCTATATATATATATATATATATATATATATATATATATATATATATATATATATATATATATATATATATATATATATATATATTTAGAAAAAATATATTAATTCATGAAAACTTGGCTTATTAGGCAAATCGGGCCTTGCATAGTAGGCTGAGAAGTGCGTTCTGGCTACTAGGTACGACATATATATATATATATATATATATATATATATATATATATATATATATATATATATATATATATATATATATATATGTTGTACCTAGTAGCAAGAACGTCGTACTCGGCCTACTATGCAAGGCCTGATATGCCTAATAAGTCAAGTTTTCATGAATTAATATATTTTCTATATTTTTTTCTTATGAAATGATAAAGCTACCCATTTCATTATGTATGAGGTCATTTTTTTTTATTGGAGTTAAAATTAATGTAGATTTATGACCGAACCTAACCAACCCTACCTAACCTAACCTAACCTATCTTTATAGGTTAGGTTAGGTTATGTAGCCGAAAAAGTTAGGTTAGGTAGTCGAAAAATAATTAATTCATGAAAACTTGGCTTATTAGGCAAATCGGGCCTTGCATAGTAGGCTGAGAAGTGCGTTCTGGCTACTAGGTACAACATATATACATATATATATACATATATACATATATAAATATATATATATATATATATATATATATATATATATATATATATATATATATATATATATATATATATATATATATATATATATATATATATAAATATAACTTTTTAGACACTCAACCCACCAGGGGACTCGAACACTGGCCAACAAGGTGGCAGTTGCATGCTGTATCCACTACGCTATACTTCAAAGCCATTAAGAGCAAACCGATGAAAGGAACCGATGAAAGAGCATCCGAGGTCCCACACTATCTCATCGCCTGGGAGAGGATTGGAATTCTGGTTGGTTAAATACCCCAGAATTCCTACCTCTCTTAATGGCTTTGAAGTATAGCGTAGTGGATACAGCATGCAACTGCCACCTTGTTGGCCAGTGTTCGAGTCCCTGGTGGGTTGAGTGTCTAAAAAGTTATAAACTTCAGCTACTGGAATAGGGTAGTCTGTGCATATATATATATATATATATATATATATATATATATATATATATATATATATATATATATATATATATATATATATATATATATATGTCGTACCTAGTAGCCAGAACGCACATCTCAGCCTACTATGCAAGGCCCGATTTGCCTAATAAGCCAAGTTATCCTGAATTAATATATTTTCTCTAATTGTTTTCTTATGAAATGATAAACTACCCATTTCATTATGTATGAGGTCAATTTTTTTTATTGGAGTTAAAATTAACGTAGATATATGACCGAACCTAACCAACCCTACCTAACCTAACCTAACCTATCTTTATAGGTTAGGTTAGGTTAGGTAGCCGAAAAGGTTAGGTTAGGTTAGGTTAGGTAGGTTAGGTAGTCGAAAAAACATAAATTCATGAAAACTTGGCTTATTAGGCAAATCAGGCCTTGCATAGTAGGCTGAGAAGTGCGTTCTGGCTACTAGGCACGACATATATATATATATATATATATATATATATATATATATATATATATATATTATTAAATATGACCGAAAAAGTAAGATTAATAATTCTAACACGAATTTTCTCTATCTTTCTTACGTTTCTTTTCACTGTTGATGGTAATTCAAAAATCAATTCTCCAAAATTCATTTTTGTTTTAAAATAAAAATAAAAATGAATTTTGGAGAATTGATTTTTGAATTGATTTTTCGTGTTACAATTATTAATC